GGCAGTGTTCAGCAGCTTCACCTGAGCAAGTCTCTTCGTGATCATAGTAGCAAAAACCAGCCCGAAGAGGACACTGCTTATCAGCACGTAGTCGTAGTCATCTTTTAGGACATCAAATTGCTTTGATGGGTAAACTCGGGTCTGGTAGATGTCCAGGCCATACGCAACAACCTAAAGAGATGAGATCATGAGCTGGTAATGCTCAAGAAAACCAAACACATCAAAAATGATTGACTCAGGTCTATAGTTCTGATTAAAAGAAATGTTTAAGCAGCAAGCAGCCAGATGATCGGAAGTTACAGACCTCTCTGCCACAGGGTACGGTATCATGCTGCTCTACCTGCAAACTCCACAAGCCTACATTGAATCCTCCACCGTGTACTCACCAGACAAGTAGACTCTAGGCCAGAGGGAGCTGTGTAAATCCCTCTCATTCGGGAGATGGTTTGATTGTAGTTGATAAACCGCTCGGCATGGATCTGCACATCAGGCGAGTATGGAATCAGGTTCTCTTCTCTGAAAGGCATTTAAAGAGAAATCAAAACTGAATCAAACAGTACACACGGAGGACATCACCTGCGTTTCCTAGTCTGATTATCACAAGCTGACCTCAAACAGCAAATTTAGCAGCTTTTCCCAGTGCAGATTCATTTTTTTGCTGCAAGATGAAAATCAAACATACCCAGCTGGGTCAGACTACACTGCAGCAGCCTCCTTTTAGGTTTCTAAAGTTTTAAAAATAAATGTAATTTTAAAAACTTCAGACAGTTACTCTGACTGCTACTTCTTAGAGTGCAGACAACAGGCTGCTTTTGCTAATGAAAAGACCTGCTGCATTACAGACAAACTTATTCCACCCTCACAGACAGGGAACAAAGCAACCTTGCTTAATTTCATGCAAGAATTGCCCTGAATCTGTCCAGGACAACTTGTTCTACTTCATTCTACTGCATTAACACAAAATCCATCCCTCTTCAAAGCTGCCCAGGAACAGAGGCTATCACTGTTTCCTTACCTGCTTTGTTCTGTAGGGATCTCTGGGCGGCGAGGATCCAGCAGAGCCTTCGGAAGGGAGAGGATGGCCCCAGAGGGAAGCCCAACTGTGCATTAAAAGAAACGCATCTTAGTAATGGCCATTTCTGACAGCATTTTCTAACAGCCAGCAAAAATGCTGTCTTGGTGCCTATCCTTGCACTTGCTAGGAGTCCAGGGCAGCTCACGGGCATGATTTTTGGCAGCAAACTGCACTTTGTTCTGTTTTCAGTACGAAACCTGGCTTATGCATGTCGCATAAACACATCCCGAACAGAGCAGCATGTACTTACTAAGCAAGTGACGGCTGGTGATGCCACGCTCGGTGATGGTGGCCTCCATGGCACTGATAGCAGATGGAAAGATATAAGATTGCTGGAGAACCTGAGGTAAAATTGGACGGTCAAGGGAGCTGAAGGCTGTGGCATTGTATTGCTCCGTCCCCTCATACAACTCCAGCACAGTGAACTCGTTCCGACGTGCCTTCGTGTTCCAGTACTGGTACTGAAACGAGAGAAGATTTTTAGGAATATGAGGTAAGCAGAGTCAATAATACAGAGGTAGCAGGAAATCACAGGGGATGGTCAAAAAGTCTTCTCCATACAAGTTCAGCAACTGCCCCTACCTCCCAAATGTAAAGAACATTATCAGAATAACTTCTTACCACCACCCAGTTCTCTGAATGAACGAGGTGGACAGGTCCTTTTGCTTTCTTCTGTACCGATGAGTGGATGATTCTACCTGTGACTCCGTCAATCAGATATATTCCAATGAAAGTTCGCTCGTGATGAGTATCTGTGCTCTCTGTCACCACAGCAAGCAGGTTTGGATTCAAGGACTAGAGAAAAAATTAAAGACAACCGAGACCCTCCACTTTAGTGCCACAGGTACCTTGTTTATCTGCATTTCCTCTGGGCCTATCTTATAATAAAGAAAGTATCTTGTTAGCTCAAATCACCTGAAGAAATCAAGCAGCTATTTCCCCATCATCAGATGTTGGACTGACTTAATCACTGCATTAAAACATTTTGTAAAATACATCTCCACCAAAATTAACATCTTCTGCAGAAGGTTATGGACACTGATGCATATATAGAAAAAATGGCACCACACGGTAGTTAATCTCAATGTAGTGCCTAGAAATGGTGCTGACATCTTCCCGTGAGATAACACATTCACAAAATGTCAACAGAAAGTTCCAACGGCACCTTATAGAGAACACTGCGGTCTCCCATCACACGGCCCTGGGAGTGCACGTGCTCATTGGACCTCTTCCCTTTCACAGTCACTATCCTCTGTACTTCGGTGGGTATGACCACCTCCCAACTCTCCTCTGTTGTCAGGTCCTGCAAGAAAAAAGCATGACGTAGGAGGTTTTATCTTGTCCTCAGCAGACACCATCTCCACCGATAAGATGCAGAGAGCTTTCTCTGCTTTTGAATTTTAAAAGTTTCTTAGGCACAGTTTGAGGCTGAACTGTTTCTATTCTGAGCAAAACTCTGTAAACCAAATTAAGAGATCTACCATTATCCAGAGGACATCTAGGAAAGTGATGTCACTTAGACTGTAATAAGTCTTCCGTACCTTTTTCAGCCTGAATCCAGAGAGTTTTCCCTGCTTGGCATCAACTAGATAAAAAAAGATAGAATGAGCTATTTCTTCTAACTGGCGAAGGACATTTTTAGTGGCTGGGAAAGCTGTAACCTGGAAAAGAATTGAAACACAGGTTAAAAAACAACTGACACACAAAAGGCAAGAAAAAAAAAAACCAACATAGAAAATTATTTCAAACATGTTTATCAGGATGACCTCTGTCTTACCAGAATAACCTCACAGTTTTCTGTGAAATGTGACTCAATGGCATTTTTTTAAAATCTTGCTCTAAAAGGGAGGGCAATAATTAACCAGAACATGAAGAAAATTGCCTCCAGGCAAAGCAATTTACCTTGTACTCATCATCAATCAAGAGCAGTACTTTGGCATAGTCTTGATCCATAATAGGCAGAAGCAAAGTCTGAAGAATTGGACGCTTCAAAACAGGGGGAGCTACTTGACTTCTCTTCCCAAAGATGGGGTTAAAGACATACAGAAAGCTCATTTTGGTTTCCTGAAAAACAAACAAGATGCAAAACTTTTCCTAAGGCGGAAAAAAGAGCTGGTTTTCTACCTGTTCCTTGCTGGTGTCAACTGTTCATACCCTGGATTCAGCTATTCCCTCCTCAAAACATTCTGTTTGAACATGCATATACTCGTGCCCGTATTTCTCTATCAAAACCATACTGTGGCAGGACACAGCATTCATGGCTGTAACAAATTCTACCTGCCACCTGCTGAAGCAGTCTCGACACATTATTATGTCTCCTCCTCCCTCATGTATGGAGTACAAAACATCCTGCAGCTAGCTAAAGGACAGCCATTGTCACCTAGCTAATGGAGACCACACATGACTTATCTCACATGACCAAAGAAACTGGATGAAATTATTTCTTTTGTTTCAATAAAAGGCTTTAAAACAGGTATCCTTAATTTTTTTAGGATTGTGCATCTGCTCCTCTCCAGCTGTCACTCTCCTCCTGTCCCCAAATCAGTGATAACCGGACAATACCCAAAAAGATACCTTCTTCCACCCTTTCAAAGGGCCGATTTCCATGCTAAGCAAGTTCAATGGAGAGACAGAGGAAAGGGACTCACCTTGTCCTTAACAAGCAAGGTACATTGTGGAGGGTGTGGAAAATGGGCTGTTGTTCTTTGGACCACCAGCTTAAAGGAGGAGCCCGGTCTCACATTCCTGAGATACTGCTTCCACAGGATGGTGCCAGAACTGCTTTCAATACCAAAAAGCTGAGCAAAGAGACACAGTGAAGCCAAAGTTTAGAACACCACATCTCTCGCGTTCGAGGACTGCATCTTTCTTTAAGATATGACAAAGAAAGAAGAGTCTTAGTCCCCCTCCAAAGCTACCACAAAACATTCTGTGCATCTTCTCTGCCCAAAACCTGGCTAAAAACAGGGGTGGGAATTCAGAGCTGAGACTTTTTGCTACCGTCTAGAAACAGATTCCTACCCTGGCTTCCTCACCTTTCCTGAAGCGGTGACCATCACCATCATTTTCTGGAGGTTGAATTCATCTCTGGCCAAATTGTCAATGTTAATCTCATTTTTAATCTGGCTGCGGGGTTTCCTGGCATCATAGAACATCTTCCAAAGATGAGCGGTCCAGGCTTGCAGCAAGATAAGTTGGGAGGACAGCCGCTTCAGAAACATCCCCAGCAAACCATCTGCAAAAAGACCGACAGTGATAACAAGAGGGGAAAAACATTATGTCCCACTCCATAATTGAAATCATGGTCTCAGCCAGTAGAATACTGCCATGCATGACCCTATGATAATTCTTTGCCTTTGTTTCCCACTCCAGAACAGCAGAGTTAGAGTTACTATACAGTTTCTATGACAGACCCTCGCATTCACCAACCTTTTCCCACTTCGCCCTTGTATAAGCTCAATCCAAAAGACGTTGTCACCCACTGAAAGCAAACCTTCTTAAAGAGTACATAATCTCTTCCTTTATATTCCTTCTTTCTCACTGGTACACTCACAGCAAATGCCCACCTGAAGTTTACCCACCAAGAACATCTGTATCTCCCTCTGCACTCATTACTTGGAGTAAGAGCAGCCCCTGAAGTAAAAAAATACTTAATTCTGCCCAAACAAGGTTTATATTTTGGTTCTCAAAAAAAGCGAAACACCAGACTTCAGCTATATTTCACCACTAAGGAAAGCAAGCAGAGAGGAGATCAAGTTCCACTAAGAAGCACTAGTCCAAAGTATCAGAAAACACTGCATGCAGTCTGAGGTTACCTTGAATGGCTGCATCCAGGACAGCAAGAAAAAAACAAAACAAAGCAAAAACAAAAGCTATTGCAAATGAGTCCTCCAGACAGAGTCAAAGGGAAACATTTAGGAGACATGGCCAAAATCCTTCATACCGCCGCTGACTGTTTTTTTCATATAACAGTGTAATATGCTCATGTCATCTGCATTTGGCATTGGACTTCAAAAGTTGAGACAGAAATGGCTTTATTTCTGCTCGTTTTAATTGCCATCAGTAGAAATTTGAATCTAACTCTCAGTTCCGAGGAAAAAGAAAACAATAAAACATTTATTCAGGAAGAAACACAAACTCACAAAGGTAATTCTGTTAGATCTATGGTTTACCTGCTTTCTTTCCAAATTCTCCCTCCAGTTCAGCTTGTGCGCCTGTCAGAGGCAGATCCACCATCTCCAAGCTTACCACTTCTGCAAGTGACTCCTCTCTACTCCATACAACTTTTCCTGGAAAGAAATAAGAATAGAATATCAGAAAAAATAACTTAGTATCTGGGAACAGACTCACTACATATAGGAGTATCTTCCAGTGGACCCTTCAAATGCAAATCCCTGTTCTTAATGGAATGCGAAATAGCGTGTATCTATCTAATATCGTGCAATTAGCTACTTCATAGAAGGCTGATACTTTATGCAGCTGGAGTCACTTTTGGAAAAATACCAAGGGATCAGTAAAGTAATCCAGTGTTTTAAAAGGGTTACAGTCATTAAGTTGATTTTAAATAAGAGATACACAGTGTGAACACCTGGGTTCCTTTTCAGTCACAGAAAATTCATGTCACTGAGATGGACTTTCAGCCCTTTTTGCAAGTTAACATTTTTGCCATGAGGATCTTCTCTGAAGAAACTCTGAAGAAGATCTGCAACAGGAGTTAGACTGTCATCCTACAAAGAGAGTTCTGAAATTAGCAGAAAACCCATGAAATTCAAAGGCTCCGTCTACACAAAGAACACTGCAGAACTGTTTTCTCAGATGAGATGTCTTGTGAAGGGTGAAAGAGTCTCCAGTATCTTTCATGGGACTTAGAACAGTTAAATTCATTTCATCAGTTTCCAAAGAAAGCAATGGTAAAATATCATCATTTGGGACTTGGAATTTTCTTCTTGTCCTACAGCGACAAGGTGTGTACTGTTAAAAATGGGGTAAGCTAACCATTTGTGCCAGTTACCTGGCTGCTGGAGGAACATTAGCATGTGGTCTTCCGTTTGCACCAAGGCTCGATAGCCCACAGAGTCATCCTTCTTCAGGAAAACTTGGATGTATAGCTGGAAAAAAGAGCAAGCAGAACAGTGAGGTTAATGATCACATCATTCTCTTGGAGAAAATAGAACTCTCAGGCAAAACAAGAGCCAACAGCCTGATTGTATGCAGGAAGCAGGCATGTCTGCAGAACGCTTTTCACCTTGTCTGAAGGGCTCTGCCAATCCTGCCAAATCAGAGTAGGGAGGGCATTGCAAGTCCGATAAACTATAGGACTGAAATAATCTTTCCCTGCTCACCTGCTGTGGCTTGGCACCGCTCTGCTCCAGGTTAAAGGTAATTGTGGTATCCAACAATCTTTGTCCTGTTTCAACCAGGTAGAGATTAATATTGTAGGTTTGATTGGAACAGGTTAAGGATTCCTGTAACAACAGGCAGAAAGTGGCTGGGTTAAACATAGACGGCATATCAAATTCTGTAGAAGGATTTCATATTCAGCAAGAACTGTGGCTTCAAAACATTTTTAGATTATATATATCAAGCTGCTACAAAACATCAGTCTCCAAAAAGATGGTGTAACACCTTTTTCATTCTGTTCCTCCATGCAAAGGAATAAAACAGACTGCCAAGAACTTCTACTGTTCTTGGGAACAAGTGCACTTTATACCTGCCTCCGGGAATCCTCCAGAGTATTTCCAGTATGAAGGCCATCAGAACTTCCAGGTTTCTGAAATGATGATGAGAAGAGATAACATGGCTGCAGACCCCAATAAGAGTACAAAAAAAAAAATTAGGTTTTTGAGTGCCTGACAAGCCTCAGCTTGACTCTGAAAACAGGCAGGAAACAGTTCTGTTCTATTCTATTTCTGATAAAAAGGAAACCTTGCCAAGTTCGGCATCCCCAAGAACTGAAATCCTCTGTAGGTCACTAAAGCCGATTTCTAGATTACATGCCCACCTTACACAAGGCCAAAACAGGCTGCACACAGAACGGCATGCTTCACAGAGCCAGAGATAGCCTCAGGTGGAGATAATCAAGACCTCCTTGCATTACCATTGTCTTCATACATCTAAGAAGCTAATTAAAATTTCCTCTTCCTCCAGTTACTACCCATCCCTGTGCCTGTGAAGGAAAACACTTGCAGAACCCACCCCCAGTGCGTATCCACACTAGAGCTGCGATGGTGACATAGTATAGGCAAATTGTGCTAACCAGTTCACTCCTGCAGGTCAGGACAGCAGCCACAGTTTTCTCCCCAGTTGTTGCAAAACTCACCAGAGCTGCCTGAAAAGAAAAAAAAAAATAGCAGGAAATCACAAAGCAAACAAGAAAACCCTCAAGCCCCACCAAAAACTACCTATGCAGCAGATTAAGCCATACTGGAAATAAAAACAGATGATCTTTCACAGCCAAATTTTAAATTTCATTGTTTCACCAAATAAAGAAAAAATTTCTCTTTTAAGACTGAAAATACTTCTCGTAAAGATGGAAACAATAGATCTGTCACAGGCTTCTGAACCATTATGTCCAGCGTTACTGAGCTTTTTTAAGCTTACTTGCTTTTCAAAACCTCTCAGCTGGCCTAACGAAAGTACTGCCACACCACTGGCCACTTAAGACATGCATCTCTCTATCCACCTCAAAACCTGGAAACTACGCCAATGCTAACAGTTGTTGGCAACAAAGCATGCCTACACTGATGTCTAGAAATATTTCAGCAGTTAGTGTAAATGAAATCAAATGGTTTTCAAGTGTTGCAGCCAAGAGCACAATTGAAATGAGAAGCTCAGCAGCTTGTTCAGAACTCTTAGTACAGAGGTTTTGGGGTTTTTTAAAAGAATTTTAAGCTGTAGTTGGCCCTCTTGCTTGAGTACATTTGTCTTGGTTACCTGCTGGAAGTCCCGAAGGTGGCTGAGCAGCCCGTGTTTGTACTGCAGCAGAGAGAAGTGGCTTGGAGACAGCTGCAAGAAGAACTGAGTCCGCGAGGCACTGACTACATTGGGTTGAGTGGCCAATATCCTGGGCTGGAAGCCATCAGCAAACTCCAGGTCAAGTGACTGTGCGAGACAAGCATATGTGTTCATGAGAACTTTTTCTTCACTGAAACTAATACCTTCCATTTAACAGCAGCAATATAAGCTTTATGAAGAGGTTCCCCATGTCAGGATAAACAAAGCAGAAGCAAGGAGGCCTAGGCTCCCATCAGAGCAAGGCTCTGAAGACATCAATTCAGGAGGAATGATTAGACCGACAAAGAGTTTTCTCTCCCTTCCCTCAATTTATGGATCATGGTCCCCTACTCACCACCTCAGTCATTCTGTAGTTTACTGATAAGAGAATTCCCTACGTTGCCAGGTTCAATCAGGCACCACACCAGTTGGACAATGAATTATGTACAATGCTTTTTCAGCACTTCTCACCTGCAGCGGGATCTGCTTCATCTCCTGCTCCGTCTCCAAGGAGCAAACATAGAGCGAACGCGCGTCCACATCCATGCACACCAGCACTGCCTCCCCCACCACGCCGCACACGCTGTTTAAGCTCTTCAGCCACGGGGCTGCCACTCTGATCTGTCAAGCGAGACATAAACAAAATCTTCAAAGAACCAACCCGGACACAACCAGGAATTTAAGTCAGAATTATTTTTACCCATGACCCTGGGAGAAACTATCTATCAGTCTGAGATGTCCAGGACTGTCTTGACTAACAGCTGCAAGCCTAATTTAGTTTTGCTTTCAGGGCACTCAGCAGTGAAATTCATTTATTGGCCCGTAGGCAATGCCACAGTGAAAGGGAAGTTTATCTGTACTACAACAATTAATTACTCTGCACACCACACCACAGCCCATCTAGTTGGAAGTACATTTGTTAACATCAAATTCCATATTTTTAATCTATAATCGAGCACTACCTGTTTTGTAATTTCTCCATCTTCTACACTGAATGTTAAAATGTTCAAGTGGCTCTGGGGAACGACTCCAAGCACGTGGATCACTCCAGTCCCATGGGAATACAACAACTGGTACTGAGTACTCTCACTGCAAGAGAGGCAGCAACCATGAAGCATCGTCTTCTCACATTACTGTTTTCAGATGTTTTCAAAACCATAAGGCAAGTACAGCAAGCATCCTTTCCTCTCCGAGGCAACAGGCTCCCTGTCAGAAGTTTACACTTCTACTTAAAATATGTTCTTACCTTTCAGGTAAGTGTTCCACCCATTTCTGGTGCCCGTTGGAAAGGTAGTGAAGAGAAATGGCTGCCTTCTTCAGGACTGCCACATATTTCACCGTATCCTGTAGCCCCACCAAACTAGCCACCTGGAAACTAAGCACAGGTCAGAGACAGTAAGTTAGAAAATTATTTTCTTCTAGGAAAAAAACCAAACCAGTCTCTTTGAAGACCTTCTTCAAACACTTAACATCAGTCTCAAAGTACAATTTATAGCCCACTTTATCTATCCTTGCTGATCTCAACAGACAGCATTAGGCTGGAATCCAAACACCCTAAATCAGATGCATGTTTAACATGTTGTAGATTTAAAGAGAAAATCCATCTATGAAAAAGATTTGCATCTCTTCCTCTTACTGGTTTGCTAAAAAATAAAAACAATGTTAGATTTAATTGCAAGGTTCAGGCATTCTTAAAGAATTCACCCAAATGTTATTTTGGAAACTTTACATCTAACTAATCTTTCTCCATAATGCAAGTTGAGACACGGTCAACAATCCCCTTCTTCCCTTCTAGACCAGCATTACAAAGAAAAAAAGACAGTGCAAACATGAAAGCCTACCTGCCAGTGTCTAGGGATGTCTCCCAGTTCAACCCCCCAATGTTGGTCTCCCAGGAACGCAGAATACGTCCAGCATTGGACACAGTGATGGCATCTGCCCGGGAAACGAAGAGAAAGAGATGAACACAGAACTTACATCCACCGCAGATCAACAAGGCAAGGAGTTCTGCCAAGTTCAACTTGTGGCCTAACATGTGGTTGAGATACCACATGCAAGGACAACTGCTAGCCCCAGCACACCATCTGCACATTCTCCTCACCCTGTCCATGAATCAGCATCACATCTATTGCTCCTTCAGGAGTTCCCTTGTCTACATGGCGCCACACTGAAAGAAAAAGAGTTAAGTAAGAACAAGATTTGTTCCCCTAAAAACATTTGTCTGTTATTATTTTTAAACTTAGGCTCTTTATGGCAGTAAGCTTATGCAGAGAAAAGTCTGCCTATCCTAAGCAACAGCTTTTGAACTGCTGGCTGAATTCTCTTAGTCTGACAAAGCAGTATGACCAGCATTAATTTATCAGCATAAAAACGTAACGCAACTTCATTGACACGTTAGCCCCAGCACAGCAGGTGTACTCCCCACAACAAAACCCCGCTGCTTCACTTACAGATTTCGCCACTCCTGGAGTTCAGGGCAGCCACAACATTCTTCTCAGTGGCCACAATGAGCTTCTTTGAACCCTGCGACGCCTCCAAGGAGGCAAACTTCAGCTTCCCCACGTACTGCTGCCTCCTGGGAGAGGAAACACGGGGAGGGAGTGAGACAGGAAAACGGGGCACCTCGCTGAGGGGGCGGGAGGGCAAGGCCCAACGGGTGGCTGCGGCAGGAGGCAGCACGGCGGGCGCAGGGCCTGCTTGCAGGAGGAGGGCCCCGGCGCGGTGGGGACGCCCC